GCGTCCACTGGCATGGATTGATTCCCAGAGGTTTCTGGATCAAGAAAATGGAAACTGAACTTTTGCATCGTGGATCCTGTCACCTTCAGGTGAGCTGCCTCAAACTGAGCTATTTGTTGCAGTACGATAGTTACCAGTTGTTCCGCGGAGATTGAAATAGAGAGTTCTGCGTCACCAATTGTTGTAATGTTGTCGAAGGCTACGGTTTGTGCCGCCCCAGATTCTTTGTTTCAATCCTAAAAGAAGAACAAGGAACACGGTCGCAAGACAAGGAAGTCTTTATTGTGACCCCAGTGCGGGTATTTAAACAAGCAAGGTTATAAGATCGGACCAATTATATTGTGTCCTCGAGTGGGTAGCGACACGATGGGCAATCTGATTGGTTCATGACTGGTGGTTGACCCCTATACCGGAAGCCTTGCGTGACCTAGCCTCATCGAATGGCGCACGTGATCTCGCAGTCTTTGTGTGTCTGCGGACCAATAGCGTAACCTGAAAGGGTCTTGCCAAGGCTGTATGCGTCGGTAGGGACGGCTTCTAATACTCAATGTCCTTGAGCTTCTAGTTTGGCTAAATGTCGCCTATGAGGCACTTTATCGAATGCTTGCTTGTGGTCAATTTTGCTGCATGAGTTTTTTTTAACAGTCCAATCGACCTCTAAGAAAGGTAATGCACGCAAGTTATCTAAAATATCGAATACCAGTTTTTCATGAAACGTCTTGATTCCTAGCAGGTTATCGGACTGTTCCCATGTTGTAAGCCACCGGTTTGAAGCCACCGACTGTCCTGACAGTGGCACACTCCGATTATTTGATGTACGTATGATGGTGTTTGAATGTTTTTGTAAATAAGGTTAAAGACCATGATGGGAGCAGTGCATTGTTTTTTTGAAGGGATCTCTAGGGCCTTAAATATACAATTCATTTATTTATTATTATCTTTGCAGTATAATAATTTTTTTCGCAGAAGATTTTTTTATTTCCACTTTGTCAACCTTTTTTGGTTAATACTTCTTTGATTTGTTCCGTTTCTTACTTATCCACTCGAAAGTCCATGATAATTTATTGTAGGTTGTAGAGGCTAGATCACTACAAATATGCAAAACGCCTTAGCAAATACGCAACGGAAAACGTTCTAGGGTAGGCTAACTGCTAGTAAG